CTTCGCTGATCGGTCTTTCAGTTTTAAATAAAGCTTTTATTATTATTATTATTATTATTATTATTATTATTATTATTATTATTATTATTATAATTGTTACATGTATCTTTAGAAGGGGACTTTTCTCGGCCAGTTGCCTCTTTTCCCTTACACAAAATCAACCATCAAATTCTTTCTACTCTCGTTTGGCAAGTATGCGAGGCAACTGATGGTCTTAATTTTGATGATGGAAAGAAAATAGAAGTTCTCTATGGCGTATCTGATGGCTCGACATACTCTCATGCCTTTTTTAGTAGAGCGGGTGCACAGAACTGGGTGACATACAATCCCTTTAATGACAACAACCAATTTGGTGGCTTTCAGATTACCCCCATATGATTAAAAAGCTGAGAAACTTTATTGTTAATCCTTCAAACGCAGGGGAAAAAGGTAGCAGTGAACCATTTGATACCTGTTGTTCAAGGTCAACTGACAAAGTTGAACTGGAAACACATAAAATTGATGCCACAAACAACCATGAGTGTCAAAAGAGCTGTCACTGTTTGCTCTCTTGATGTAGCATTAGACATCCTTAAGGGTCCATTACCTGCTGAAGATACAGTTGGAACCCACACTTACTTAAAGCAATGCCACAAATTATTTCAAATTTTCAACAAAAAGTCAGAAGTTGATCCTACATGCTACAAACAATTGCCATCTATTATGATTTGGTTTGACAATTGGTATGGAGAAATGAAGCAAAACATTTGGAGGGCAGCAAGTGGGTTGAAAGACCACTGGAAACAATTCATACCACATATAACTTACAAAGATCTAAAAAGAAGTATCAGGGCTTTCCTAGGAGCTGTCCAGTATGTGCAAATGTACCATCCAGAAATACATATTATACCAAAAACCATGTGCCAAGATGATGTCAAAAATTATTTCTCTTTACAGCGGGTCAGGGTAGCAGGGGGGAAACCAACAACTTTACAGTTTTTTGAACCATCTGCCTTGCTTGAAACTGAACTTCTTCTGACTTCAGAAATGAAAGACGTACAAAGTAATATTATTTGGCTCTTATGATTTGGCAGCTCTACCTAATCTTGTTTCCATTCTACTATCTAAACAGAAGATGTCATCTGATGAAACTACAAAACAT